TCATTATCATGAGAGAGTATTGTTGCTCCCTGTGAGAGATTTCGCTTGTGCTGCTGCTGCAGACACACAGCACCATAGCTCTCTGATGATTTCTTACAAGTTTTTTGTCTCACTCCGACGGCGTATTGAATAATTTATAGCCTTTTCTCTCTCTCGCTTGTGCTAACGCTGCTGCTGCGGAGAGCTAGCCCATAACGGTTGGGTTATGATCGAAAGAAAACGAGCAAAAAACACACACGCCGTGGCTTGTACACATACAAACTATATAAAGTATATATATGTATATTCCGGTGCCCTCGGCCAACGGCAGGCCTTGGTGAAAAATGACCCCGGAGCACCGAACGACCGGTGCTTGGTCTGATATTTTAATAAGCAAATTCCAAAAAAGGGAGCTTTTTAATTAAAATTTTCTAAAATATTTAATTTATAAGATTAAAAAATAACAAAGTAAATTAAGAGATTTTGAACTATATAGTTCAAATTGAATATTGATGGAGGGAAAATCAATCTGTGAGAGATTTTCTTTTTCATTTTGTAACAGCTTGGATCAAAAGTTATGTGACATAAGCAAATAAATGGTGGAATCAGATGTTACCCGAGCCGAGACGAAAGTGCACAGACTGCACGTGATATATGGAAAATTGCGGCACAAAATGTCGCGTCGCAGAAAGTGCAGAACATTGGGGGTCATTATGCTTATTAGTGGATGCAGACGAACAAATATGCCGGCGGCGGCGTCGGCTTCCTTTCTCATTTTCTCTCTGTGCAACTTCCTCCCCAGTCAGTCAGCGTTTTGAAAAGCGAGATGTCTGAACAGCTGTAGGAACCAAGCGGAACCAATGATGGTGCACTATGGCTCGGCTGGGGTCTGGCTCTAATTAGAATCCCAGAGCCCTTGATGCAAGACGCCGGAGGAAATGAAAAAAAAAAAATATATGAACACTGGTATCATGATATGACATGACTGTTCTCGCACGAGATTGCGGCGCCTTGGATGATTGGATTCAAATGTATAAAGCTACGAAATCTCTCGAACAGAAATATATTATTAACTTTGTAAAAAAAATTTGCTAGCAAAACTCGGTTTTATTTTAGTTTTAGAATAATTTATAACCTTATGATTTTCATCTTAAAATACGCAATAGTCATTTATTTTATAATAAATAAATAATCACCTAAATTATAATGTTGTATCTTGCATTTTTCATAAATCTCAAACGAGATAATTTACTTTTTCATTTCATGACTTAACATGAAATATGAATATTAATTGAGAATTTTAAACTGGTATGCAAGCTTTTGTTATAAAATAAGCAGAAACTTGAATTACTTTACTGAAAATACTCTCAAGCTTGAAAAAAAAACTGAAGTGAGATTTTTTGAAAAAGAAGTTATGACGTTTTATTATGAGCAAATTTGTGAAAAATTTGAATACACTGATTTTTTCCTTCAGCTCCTAAGAGACTATTATTTACACACTTATTCAACACCCAAGCACAAATCCCACCGCAAAGAGAGTCCATTTATTACTAATGCATTGCGATATGGACTTAAAATAAATCCACACTCAACAAGGAATTCGAGTTAAGCCCATTTCCAGCCAGGCTTAAGGCACAGATATGGAAAATGAACTTTTCGCTCAAGAGCAAAAGACGTCCTTTATCGCAGTTGGAAATCATTGCTTATTCAATAAGGAGAGTCGCGACTCAATAATAGCGTCGCGCCATCGATTCCAAAGTTTGTCTCCAAGGCAAAGTTAATATACAAGTTTTATCGCGGCCTCGGAAATGAACCTCGAGTTCCGCATGAAATCGTAAGAAAAAAAAGAGATGATTCCAATTAACGTGCATAAATTATGCTGGCCGCGCTTCGGACGGTCGTCTTAAGAGGGCAGCAAAAACCGCGAGTGCCGTTATGAGCGAGGCAAGAGCGTGCCACTTCCACTGCTCGGCTCATTTTTTATCCTGCCACGCGTGTCCCGGAGTAATTTGTCCTAATCACAGGCGCGTCCAATGTGCGCCAGGCCAGGGGAAGCCCCTCCCCACCCCCTGGTCGCAGCATTGACGCCGACTGACAGGGACAAAGTGCCAGGGTGGAGTTAGAGCCGGCAAGGTGCGGCCCTTCACCCCCCTAACAGCCGCGGAAACCATGGCAGTGTGTCTGTCCGAGAGAAGAGTCCCATGCCTTATTATAATCAAAACAAGTTATTTGCTCTGTCAAAACAAACATCTCAATTATTGCCGTTTGCCGCAGAGAGAGAGCGCGCGGATGCAATTAAAAAGTCGTTAAGATGCACGCACGCGAATTAATAGTCCCCCGAAGACGATCCATCATCGCCGCCGGCTAGAGAGAGTAATGGATTTGTTACTGTTTTTTTAAATTATTTGTTTAATATGCACGCCTAATTTATTTCACGGTGCGCGCCGGCGCTAGAGACGAGCGAAAAATAATTAACTGAGATTCAAATTAAAACAACGGTTTCGGCTGCACCTGCTAGGCCACGCATAATCAAGATTTATTGCACGCGGGTTTATGCTGGGCGCGCCACACCTACCGCGAGAGAATTTGTTATTAACATAGCCGCAATGTTATTCAGGGTGATTAATTCTTAAAAGTTGCAAATTACCAGAAATAATTCTGTAATTACTAAATATTGTGAGATACTTCAAATTAATCAAATAAATACTGTAAATTACAAATACTTCCTTGACTATAATAGATCTATTATATCTGAATGAAACACCATTTCGTAGCCACAAAATCATTAAATATTATTAATATTTTTGTTAAAGACCAAAAGTTTGTTTGAAAATTAAAAAAGTTCGTGTTTTTTATTTTAATTTATAAAGAAATAGTAAAAATTAAAAAAATATTTTATAATTTAATAAAATTAAACAATAAGATTAAAAATAGATAATAAAATTTAATTTTAAAATAATATTTCTGTATGACTGTCTTGTTAAATTTATATATAATATAAAATTTTCTCAAAGTTAAATGTTTAACTGAACAAAATACCTTATAATATATTTTATGCAGTTTTTCTTTTTATGTGAATTTTTGATAACTTTCATACAATTAATTAAACAAATATAACATTATAAGGGAATTATAGAGCATTCTTCGTTGTAGGACAAAAAAATTATATAAAAGTTCCTCATTGCTCTCAAAAAAGTTTCTTATAATATGGTTCACATTTTTCTACGCTGCAGATATTTTAAATCAGTGCGTTAATCCCATTTTAAATACCGCCACATACCACATACACTCTTTGTTGTGGTAATAAATTTCCACGCGTGTTGAAATAGCGCCTTAGACGTCATTATACTAACCCTTGCTCATTCAACTTTTATGTGTGTGTGTACCACGGGTCGTGGTGTGTGTGAGCCGCTGCATTTCGAGCTTGGTATAGAGCAACAGGCTGTTTAAATGTGCACAACTATAAATTTGCCCCCTGCTTCCCCCCAGCGAACCCACAGCAGCGCTACTTATTTTACCCTTTTAGCCATAGCAACGAAATAATGCGCAGCACGCGTGGTGCATTCCTCGCCGAAACAGGTTTGCGAATCGCTGCCGCTACAAATTGGCGAGAGGCAAAAAAAGTCGAGTGAGGAGCACTGCTTTTGGCTCGCACACCGGCTCGGTGCCAGATTCCGAAGCAATTAATCAAAGTCCTGGTTCTAAAATAAAAATATAAATTGGCAAAAAAACGCAGAAGATTAATTTATTTTTTTTTTTGTTAATTTTTTTAAGCTGGAGATTTCTTCCGATTTATACTGGAATTGGAGACGAGTCTCTGAGATAAATATCTCTGGTCAAGGTTGAAGTGGTTTTCCCAATTTCACGATCGATCAAGTGAACCGGCAATAAAATTCTCGTACAATGGCCAAACAGCTCGATACACCGGCGTCAAACAACAAGGCGGAGCTGCAGCCTTCTATTTTCGGTCTTATTTCATCTTTACATAAAGCTGACGGCACGCCTACCTCACTGCCATTTAAACTGGCTCGCGATGGATATGAGAAATTAAATTGCCGCAACAAGCATCGCCGGACGAGATAACTCAGCAGAAGGGAGCGGGAACCGTTTGAAAAGAAATCACGCCTTTGTATACAAGTTAGGGGTTTTATTTGTGATCTTCTTGGATATACAGACGGATAATCAGAATAATTATTCGTAATAGCGGTGACCTATTGTAATGTCTTATAACTGCATAATCTCAATTGCACGAAAAAGTACATCGTGATTAATTATTCGTCACTCTCTTTTTGTCGCTTTTTGGATGATTTTGTATGTCAAAACATTGTCTCGGGACCATAGAAATAGAGATTTATATCGTCATCATTTAACTTTCTCGTGTGTTGTGTCTATTGTTACGTATATATCTGAGGTATTGTTGCAACACTACAGATCATCTACATTGTTGTAAAAACTCAATTTCAAGGACAGCTTAACTAATGTGACAGCTCCTCTTTGTCCGTGCACGTTTCTCATTTTTTTTTCAAGTTTATAATGTCTGACGCAATAATTTTCTTTTGTCCATTTTTTTTATTAAAAAGCACAGAAATGATAAATTTCAATATATTTATACGCAATTAATATTTATTTCATATGAGATCATGTTTTTATTAATTCATTATTAGTTACAATTCACTAAGGGCTATTCTCATCTGTGCTATAATATTTCTCATAGAGCTAATACTTTTCCAGTTAATCTCAAGGAACACTGATCTCCGTAAAAAGCTATATACAATATAAATTGAAAGTTTTATTTTCATGTGTGTCATTTGGAGAGACCAGTAATTCCAGCATAGGTGTTGCAACTCAAAGTAAAGCGCGACATTCTCAACATTCATCTTATAAATATAGATTTTTATCGAAACGAAATTGTGTTGTGCGCAGAAAATTTTTACATTAAAAACGAAATGTTAATCTTCTCATCCATAAGTGTACGATGTGTGAAAAGAAAAGGGCAAAATGATAAAGAATAAAAATTAAAATTTTGTATGACGGGTTGATAACCTTTAGGCATCATTTATTCGCTCATAGTATATATAACTTTCTCATTCATTTCAAATAAAACTCAACAAAATAATATTTCAATAATAAAATCAATATATGCAAAAAGGGTTCTCCATTTAAAATTATTACACAATTAAACAAAATGCGGTCAGAATTAGAGAGAACAAAAACACATCAAAACATGAAAAAATTGTAATCCTCATTGTCAAAAGTTATATAAGCTTGGCAGTACGTATAATAATGTAAAGCTTTTGGCAAATATCCGCTTTGTGTTGGTGGATTTTTTTTTTTTTAAATAATTTCAGAATTTTCAATAAAATTTCAGGAAAGATGATAATTATAGACGTATACTTCTGTATCAAATAATGATCATTTAACTGAGATGCACGTTTTATATGTGAGATTTATCGTTCAATTAATTTGCATATATAATTATAGACATGCGTGTGATCATTAATTCGTATTTTAATTACGTTTAATATCAAATACGTATATATATAATATTTCATTTTCAGTCTTTGCTTGTGTTCAACATCATCATATTATAATATTTGCGCAGAAAAAATTAAGTTAATTAACTAAAAGCGGGTTTGCGGTTAATTACGTGATTAAGATGAGCAGAAGCAGCAGTTAAATCAAATTGTGCGTGCAAGCCCATAATTTTCCAGCAGCGTTGTCATCGTTTCGTCATTTTGGCTTTTGAAACTCCTTAATTAAATTATGTGCATTTACGCCAAGTGTATGACTCTGAATGAATTCATTAGTGACGGTTAGCTGCATGAGCATTTGATGCACTTTCACTCCTTTTATACAAGTCAAGTACGTACTTAATTTGATTGACTGCTCGTGAAGCTTTAATTAATTCATCGAGGTTAATTAAATCATTAGTAAATTAATGAGGATGAGTTTGAACAAAAAAAAATAGGGTTCAAGCAGTGTTGGTTGAAATTTAATCCAGCACTGGTTGAAATTAATTTTGGGGAGTCTGAAATCAAATAAAACCGAAATAAAGCACACTCGTACATTTTTGGAGGTTTTCTGAATGAAATAAAAAGATGCGTGAGTTGTGTTAATTAAAATTGTTAGATAAAAAAGACTATCTTTCCTTTCGTTTTCTTATTTATCGATGAGATATCTTCTGAATAAAGAGAGAGTTTTGCGTTTAAATTACAGAAAAGTTAATACTCTTCCCGTGTATATATATATAAATATTTCCACACAACACACAACAAATTGATTTTCATATTAATTTAAATACGAGAAGATGGGACAGAAACGGACATTTACGTTCATTACATTTTTATATCAAACAATATCTCGATCGCGGCACATTTTGTCTGGTCAAAATAGTTTTTCTATTTAAGATATCTGAACTGGATTTACGTATTTCAAGTTTCGTTATTTAATTTTTGGCGCGCTGTCCATTACATCATCATCGTCTTGATAAATATATTATTTGCAACACTGACACGACACTTGTATTTTATCTCTTTTCGTAATTTATAAATCTAATTACACATTCAATAGTGTATAATTTCCTCAGTTTGTTTCTTCTTTCAACTCAATCGATCATCACCGATTTAAAATTTAAAATTATTAAAGCCCCTTTTAAATTAATCAAGTCCAAAAAAGGTTTTGCACTTGGTGCGATTTGTTTTCGTTATTAAAAATTTTGTGAATTTAGAGGGGCCTGATTTTTTTGAATATTTTTTGGGATGATGATCAATTTTCGCATTCAAGAACAATAAAAATAATAATCCTGAGTACTCACATTGATCCTCTTTGTGCTGACATATCCAATGCTGAGGGTCTTGGCTGTGAGATTTCGGTTTGCTTTAAAACAAATATGCGCCCGATTCTCGTTTAGGTTAAAGAGACACCGGCATGATTTTCACATAAAAACACTCGCCTAAATCAAAAACACCATCACTTAATCGATTATTAGATAGAGTTCGTCTCGAGAGTCATTAAACTAATAATTATTTGACACTTGATCTGCCTCTTCTTTCTTCTCTTTTCACTTTTAGAAAGTCTCAGAGTAGTTTTTAAATAATTATTCTCGTTATATATTTTTTTTTTTATCACCAAGTTCCTTTTCATATTGTTTTTGGGGGGTTTTGAGAGGAAACTGCACCACTTACAGCTCTACACAGACATAAGGGACTCGTTCGTGAGTGTGGTATTTCAATTGTACTCGTTCTTAGCAACACAGCTGAATGTATATATCATACACAATCATAAAAATTCTCATAAATTAATAGAAAAAAATCGTCAATGGTAATCTAAGCCCTTTAAATATTTGGTAGCAAGAGAAACGACGCGTTCAGAAAAGCAAATTTTCTGCTCCGACACACGAAATTTCTCAATTAACGCTTATTTGGTTGATTCTTTCCTTTAACTAATTACTGTTCTTTTTTCTCGATACTTTGTTAATTATTCAAGAGAGAGACTTCTATATGCGTCACGCTGGGGGTGGGTCGAGGGGGTGAGTTATTGGGGCGAGTCCGGAGGGGTGGCGTCCATGCCGTCGTGTTGCGAGCCGGAGTCCGACTTGGACTTGTTCTCCTTTTTCCACTTCATGCGCCTGTTCTGGAACCAAATCTTGATTTGCCTTTCTGTCAGGCAGAGAGCGTGTGCAATTTCGATGCGACGACGTCTCGTCAGGTAACGATTGAAATGGAACTCCTTTTCCAACTCGAGGGTCTGGTACCTTGTGTAGGTTTGGCGACCTCGTTTCCTTTCTGCAACAAAACAGACAAAAAGAAATCAGATATATTTCATAATATCTTACGATTTATGTTAATATTGATGGTTATTTACATTATTGATATTATAAGTTTTAATTCATTGTTATAAATCAAATAAGTTTAATTTTAAAACGGTCGCAGAACACCAGTAGGAAGAATGTTATGTTAAAATTTTAATAATAATTTATAAGCTGTAGGTTTGCTACTATATAATATAATATATTATGCACTATATTAGCTTAACTAAATATTTAATTATTGTGCCAAAAAACCATAAATTTTAAATTATATTGTGAAATTAATAAAATAAAATACAAATTGTAATAAAAAAATTTAAAAATTATTTTAAGTATCAAAAATTTAGATAAGATTTTTTCTTTTGGCGCTTAAAAAAATTTAATGTAAAATTTAATAGGTACACAAAAAATTCCAAAAAATGAATTATTGTTCCAAATTAAAACTTTGAAACTATCTTACTCTAGATATATTTCTGATTATATCATGTGTGAGATATTTCTAAGGTTTAAGCTTCAGCACCCCAAAATGAATTTTGGGATGGTGCTGAAGATGAGCTGCCGGTGCCAACATTCATCATCAGCTTCTAATTTCAAGCGTGCGCACAAATAATGTGTTCTCGCGTCCCCTGGAGGCATTTGTATGCATAATTTTCACTTCGAGCGTGTGTGTCACAAGATCTGCCCGCGAGAGACTAAATTATGGAGCAGGCACGCACGTATTGATTTACGGCGCCATTTCCTTATTATTTTCACATCATAATAAATTACCCCCGACGCGCACACGCACTTTATAAGATCCGCACCAGCCGCCGCCGCAGCGCGCGAGAATTAAACCGCACTCTTTTGATTTTAATGAGCTGCACTGATTGACTTGTTATTTGATGACGTCAGCCGATTAATTTAATATATATCAAACGAGTCTTTCTTCGTCCAATGATTTCCAGGCAGAGAAGAAAAACCGGTCCTCGGCTTTCTTTGATTTATATTTATTCCGCTGCAGCAACCGCGTAAATTACATTACAAAGGAATCCGATGGCGACAAAAAGAAACGATTCCGCTTTGAAATTGAAAGAAGAAAAAAAAACAAAGAGCCACTTTCCATTTTTGTATTATGGTGTTTGTTGTCGCGCGCGATTTCATTATCCTGCCATACCTGCACGCTGATCCGCCGCGGGGGTTATTAATTAACTCTCTGCTTTTGCTGAGCACGTTTTTTGAGTTTTAATTACACGTGTTTCCTGCACACACGCATCTCGCTCTTTTTGCCTGCGTTGCTAAAAAATCGCCCATCTGCGTTTTATACATGTGAATTAAGCGCAACTGCTCGAGGGAATTCATCTTTCTCGGCTGCGCGAACTAGCCCCCTGATTAATTTTCAGGCTGTAGCCACCTCCACGTGCTGCCGCGAAATTTATCGTCTCTCGGCCGAAATGTGGCACATCTTTGGCAAAAACTGCCGACTCGAGCTAAATTTCAAATCTGAGCTACGTCTAAAAACAACTTAATTTTAGGTCCGAAACCCTGTCATATATAGATAAAAAAAGGCAGAAAAATTGAAAGAGAGAAATTAAGAAACTTAATATAAATGGGTAATAATTTATTTTTAAAATTACATGTTTGTTAATTAAAATTTAATAACTAATCCTACTTCTTAAACCAAATTATATCTTTTAAAATTTGATTTTATTATTACCTAGATCTGCCGATATTAGCTAAAAACAATTGAATGGCATTTAATGAGACTAAAATATTTGCTAACCGTAATGGATGAGTAATTTCACTAATTTCCTTTACCATGTAATTTTAGATGCGTAATCAATTGAGTTAGTTTTAAATTAGTTCAGTTTTTTAATCCTGATGAATAATTAATAATACAAATAATTAAATTAATGTTATAAAACAAATGATATGAATTTGATAAATTCTTACATTTGATTATTATTTAAAAAAAAAATAGTCCTATTTTTTTCCTGAATATATGACAAATATTTTTTTGTAGATATTAATATTTTGTATATAAACATAATTTTTTTCTTGTTACATTCAATAAAAAATATTTTTATAACAACTGCTTTTAAAGATAAATCGTTAACCGTGCGTTACCCCTGAGTTGGCCGCTACTTTTCTAATCCTCAAATGAGGGCTTATTATACGCCAAAGACGCGCATCCCCTCGCTCGGCGCTTTTTTTACAGCACGCAGCACAACGCAGACAAACCGCTCTCCGACGTATATAAGTACGATGAGGCGAAGGGAAATTTAAAAACTTTTGCAAACATCACGAAAAGCCATTTATCATCGTCACTCGGCTATTTTTTGACAGCGCACAATTTTCCCCGCGCCACCCTGTTCTCTGCCGCGAGCGCGATTAAAAAAGCAGCGCCCTCCCTTTTTCCCTTCACGCAATTTCCATGCGCCCTTGGCCGCTGCACGAATGCCGGAAAATTCCATTCGTGAGAGTTACAGGGTTGAAAAAATAATAATAAACGCAAAACAATAGGACGATTTTTAATTCCGAATTTGCGGATTGTCACCGGTCTGGCTGCTTCAGCGTTTGGGAATTGAAAATCGACGCTGCACGGGGATGAAATGTATTAAGGGGTTTGATGATTGGGCCGAGCGAGGCTGCTGTTTCGTATTAGAATTGCCGGCGGGCGCGATATTTGCAATTCCAGCAAGCCGCAGAGCAGACCGCACATTTGCACTGCTCCCTTGGGATCGCCGGCGAGCAACAGGAGGCCCATAAACAGAGCCACCCCTGCACACACACACACACACACATTCATATACAAGCGCAGACGGCGCACATACTCACAAGTGCAATCTATGTGTCGCGACGGTGAAATCTCAACCGAGAATCTCAAAGATGCATAACTCACGGCGGCGGACGAATAAAAATGAAAGGGCTGCAAAAGTCCCAGGCTTTTTTTACTTTTTAAATGTGTGCGTTGAGGAATGCATAATAAGATTTTTTTATAAAATCATCACTATTGGACAAATAAATTGCAAATTATTACATTCATTCCTAAATTTGCTCCAACAATTTCTTCACTTATCAAATGCAATAGTGACAATTATATCAATTACACAATTTTATTCTTTAATTTCAGGATATTTTGATCCACGAGATCAACATGCAAGGATTTTCTGTAATATTAATTTTGACAAACGTTCTTTTATTTATTCATTTCGATAATAGTCAATTTTAATTTGATTAAAATTAATTAAATCCAATCAGTCAGTATCAGTGATGACAGTGAGCTATTAAATTGTAATTTCAATGTGTAGGAGGACATGGTGGACGCTAGAACAATTTATATTTTTACCATTGCATTATTTAAAATATTGATGCACAATATGTTTATGAAATTAGAATAATTTCTTTAAAATCAACAATTTTTCAGTGACTTGTCAAACAAATTTATAATTTAATATATAAATTCAAATAAAATGCTATTTAAATAATAATAATGTAATAACTCAATTAGAAAAAGTTTAAATAAAAGTAGTTATATAAATTTAAATTTAAAATTAACTGCCTTTTATGATTTTTAAATCACTTCAGCATGGTGAAATAAAATTATTGCTCTGGCTGGAACGCGAGGGTTCAGCGCACTCATCCTACTGCGTATGCAACCGGTTCGTCTCTCGCGTTCAGCAGGAAGTAGACCCCACATAAAACTTGGTAATGGAATGATATCGATTCGCTCGACGCCTCTCGCCGCAAAGGAATAATAATTCTCTCGCCCAACCCTAACAGTCCTCGGAGAGAGGGGAACTTTGATTTTGAACTCTGCCAGCAAAATGAAAAGAAAAAAATGAAGCAATAAATGTAAAATTTCTGCTGTATACATTTGATGCAATCAATTAAATAGAGAAAAGAGAACAAACAAGCCGAGAGAGTGAATCGTTCGCAGCGAGAGAGTGATTGCGGCCGGCACAACGTCCATTTGAGGTGAAATAAAACAATTGGGGTGCGGGGAGAGCGTGGAAAAGCAGCCGGGGCTTGCTTTTCCACCACTGCCTCTGGAATAAGTGCGCGCTCGAGAGGCAGAGCGCGCAATAATTCACAGCACTTAACCCCAACAGCAGACGCATTAAGAAAAGAGGCAGGCGACAATTAGACGAGAACAAGCCCATTAAGATTTGCGCCCTCAGATAAAACTTGCCGGGCCCACTCAGCGACTCGGAATCTGCGGCTGTTTATTTGTCCCCGAAAGATTTTCCTCCCTAACCAAATTAAACGAGCTCCAACTTTCTCACATACCTCTCTGGGAAAAGTTGGTTTTCCGCCTGCACCGCGCCGAGAGATGTTTGCACGACTCAAGACCGAACGAAACTGACCCATGCAAATGTGTTTTTACTTGATAATGCAGCCGGTACGGTACGCGGCCTTGGCTGGGCGCTCAACAAAAGTCTCTTTATTTTTGTTTGACTCTGACCGATTTGACGCGCCGCCGAGAACAATCGTCAGCTGCGAGTAGAGGGTGGCTTCGCTCGAGGCCTTGGATTTGACGCAGCAAATCCATCAAAGTGCAGCGGTCAAAGCAAAAGGTGCACAGGAGCATAAATCACCGATTGGTAAAATTCGACTTTGGTGGTCTGCACTTTTTCATTGCTCGGAGATAATTAAGTAATACTTAAATTAAACTATTATATTTTATATCCTCAAAAAATATAAGAAAATCCAGATCTATACTTAATACCAAAAATGTTAATTATTTTTTATTAAGTTAATTAATTAATTTAATAATTATGCAATTTTAGATTCAGGTTGATGTTATCTATATAATATTGATAAATAATAGAATTCACAATAACCATTTCGCTGATTTTTATAAACAAAATTTTTTTTAGAATTAATAAGAAGATTTAGCTTTATTTACCAGGTTTTTTCTTCTTTTTTTAAAAAAAAATGTCTGAATGTATTTAAATATTGCCAAATAATGTTGACAATTTTTTTCCATACATTAATTTTTGGAGAAGAAGTTATTTTAAGAGACCTCTCTTGTGCTATTCTGCGCGGCTACTTCGCTCTGCCCTTTTTTCTAAACCATCCCTGCTTCTTTTGCGCTCACCCCGCTTATATCTTATGCACTCTCACGAACGTTCTTGCCGGCCTCCCGTGAAAAGAATAAAAGCTGACCTTTCCAGAAAGGAAGTTAAAAATAGCCTGTCCGGCAATGTTTGCCCTTATTATGTAAGAGAATGCAAGTGAGTATTCTCGGGAAGCGCGCGGCGCACAATGAGATGCTCGGCAACAAAGAAAGGCACAGCGAGAGCGACCTTTTCATGTTCTTCTTTCTTATCCTCAAGAGTGCCAAAAATAAAATTCAGGAAACAAAAAACGAAACCCTCTTTAGGGCACGCATGTGCTTCTATACGCTTTTTTGTTCGCGATTCGTTACGTTTTTTCCTCAAAAGAGACGCGGTGTTCTATTTTTAGAAGGCAAATTGAATAAGGCTCACTGACCTCTAGCATATTAATATTTAAATAATGAGGAGCTCATATTGCTCAAATATTAAGAACAAAGTTAATGGATTATCACTATTGAGCCCCAATTTGCTATTCAATCTACTTGTTTCATATTCATATCATCAATAAATTTAAATATAAATATCTGAACCGCGTTGGTCTCGTAAAAGTAGATTAATTGTCAAATTTTAATTCATTTGGCATTCTTGGAAATATTTATAGATTTCGTCTATGAAATAACCTTTATTAATTTAGCATGCAATATGTTTTATAAACTAGTGTTGACGATACAAAAATTATTTGAAATTAAATAAATAAACTATCGATCCTTATAATATTTAAAATTATGAATTTTTTTATAATATAGACTTAAATTCAAACTATTAAACAATAAATTACTATCATATAATTGAATTAAAAACTTACCAAACTGACTCCTCATCCAAGGGTAGAGGGGACTGGGCAGGTTGGCCGAGGAGTTGTTGGTCTGCTGTTGCGGGGGTGTGTGTTGCTGCGGGGGGTGCTGGAGCTGATTGTTGTGTTGCGGCTGGTGCACCTGGTGAGGGATCTGCTGGGGCGGCGGTGCGACATTGTTGTACTGCACCATGTGTCCCTGCTGAGCCATGTGGTGCTGGCCCATGTGCTGGGGGTGCATGGCCGGCGGGCTCTCGGGGGGCATTTGCTGGGTCACGACCGCGTTGGCCTGCAGTTTGCAGCTTGAGTACTGCACGGGGGTGGTTTGCTGGGGCATGTGCGCCCCTCCCATGGTGGGCGAGTTGGGCCGGTAGCCGCCCGTGTTGTCCACCATGAGTCCGGCAGCCCCGTTTTGGGCCGTCTGGCCCGTCTGGGTGCCGTAGTACCCCGCCGCCCTGATGTCCAGCCGGTCGTAGGGCGGAAAGCGGGGGTAGGGCATGCCCGGGGGCGGCTGACCCGCCGCCGGAGGGCCTCCATAGTGGTGGGGGATGCCCTGCCGGAGGCTCGGGTCACACGAGGGGTCAGAGTTGACCTGTGCCCCCTGGTGAGCGGCCGCCGCGTAGTGGTCGGGGGTGCCGTTGCGAAGGTCGGGGATGTACGAGTTTGCAAAGTAGGAACTCATCCTAGATGGCACCACTAGTCACTAGAACTACTGCGTTCGAAACAACACTGGCGAGTGTGTCCAAAGAGTTGAGAATTAATTGTCTCTCAGTCGGGGTCAGTCACTGCGGGTCAGTGCCAATGGCCTTCTGGATGCTCAACACTGCTGCTGCTGCGCCCAGATGAGGCATCTGATCCTGAAAAACAAAAGTTTTCAATTAATTATTTGCGAAAAATTAGTTTTCTTTAGCTTTTTTTAGAATGTATACCAATTTTTGTCCCTTTTATAAATAGCAACATTTTGCTTCCGACTTGTGTAAGTTCACGAATGAGACTGATCTCTGGAGGAAAAAGTACAAATGGCACCTTTGCTGATCAGTCTGTTTACTCAAATAATAAAAATTTCGCCCCACCCTTGATGCACGGACAATTTTTCAAATCAGTCTTTGCATTATTGGCGTTATTGTCACATATTGTGGCTGCCGGACAGACGTTTACTCAACGCCTTAAAACGTGTTGCATAACAAATTGCACCTTTCTAGTGGCACAATGGCCTCTTTTGTGCGCCAGTCTTTTGGCATGAGTGCAACAGGAAATGTGCGTGGAATTCGCTGTTTGAAAAATTATAAAGCGATTCAAACCGCGCTTTTTCGGATCAAATCCGCTTGCTGCAACACAGAATAATCCCCCTAATTGTGTAAATACCGAGGGGGCACGACCAGAATCAATGGAGGCGTTGATTTGATCGACAAAAGAAAGATATTTTCAAATGAAAAAAAAATCCGTTCGGCATAAACAAGCAAAAACTTGTGTTGAACAATGGGTACATGGAATTTATTTATTTTCCCAGCAGCAAATGCAGAGAGTTGCAACATTCAAACGGCTTATTCATATTATTTAAATGTATGGAGGCTGGTAATTTTCCCTGGACAATGCATTCAGCGTTTATATTTAAACAGTCGGAGCTACAGCCTCCGGCGGCACTTAATTTGCAATCATTAAACGGCGGATAATCGGCGTTATTATTCCACTGGGCGAGTCAATACGGCGATATAATTTATTGCGGCAATACATGTGAACTCGAATTAGCATTTTTCTCCAGAAGTAGAAGGTGAGACTAAACACAATTCCTTAGCATTTTTCTCTGGTGTGATATTATTTCAGATCGTTTAATTGTGTGAAAGAAATAAAATTGCGGCATGATTTATTTAATTTGATCTCCTGCCGATGGAGAAAATAATGACATAAATAATAACAGCACGCCGCCGACAAGGATGCCGATAATTATCGGTCATGCGCTACATTGAGCAACTCTGTTGCATTTTGCTCTTACAGAGTTTAAATTAAACATAAACACCGGTCTGCCGACACCAGTTATTTTTTTTTATCTTTTATTAATAAACGCTTCTAATGCACTTTTTTGCATTCACGAGAGATAAATAAAAAGCCCACAATGTAGCGGCGCGCGGAATATGTAAAAGCTTTGCTTGCCAGCGAGGTCAGACTTGATTGCATGAAGGAAATTTCTTCTCACTGCATAAAGCAGTAAATTAATACTCCAGTAAATGACTCTCAATTACTTAAATTAGTGTGCAACAAAATTATACTCGTTTACCCTGATTCGTTAACTGGGAGGAAGGATATTTCTACTGCGAGTTCAATTTATTTTCAATTATAAATTGCTAATGTTATAAAATAATAGTTAAAAAAGTCAATAAATTAAAATTATATATATAATTTTTTAAAAAAAAATGCATATGCTACAAAAAATAAAAATAAATGTTAGTATTTTATTTCAACTCAGAATTGCTAAATAATAAAAATATGAAGATAAATTGGAAATATTAATGCTTGTTTTTGTTACAAATTTTAAATTTTAAATTGAGAAAATTTTAAACTGTCAGGCGCTTTGTGCCTATATAGTGAATGATGTATTCGTTTTTTTCGTTTTTGATAAAATAAACAGATTTTGAACCCTTTCGACCCGCCTGACCTACCTCAATTGGAAACACACAGGCCGTGCCATTCAGAGACGCGGCATTTAGATTGATGAATTATGTTAATGAGGGCCATAAAGTGATGGCGAGAGTCAATAAAAAGCGCACCATTATGCCATTACAAGGGGCCATTAAATTTTACTGCCACTACACACACAATCAGCGCCCATTCATCGGCGTATTTCCACCATCAGCACAAACAGACCTGTTGTTTCTGCAGCACCATCAATGAGCCGACTGTCGACGCCTTCGTCTTCAACTTATTCCAGCAGTGGACTAAACTTGCTCTTTTCGGGACCCTTTCCTTATCAGAGCCACAGGAAGACATCATTACCAACAAGGTGCCATGTGTGCCCATCAAGGTGGCAAATGAGCCATCAAAAAAGCTCTTTCTTTGACTGACAGCCTCCCAAATGTGTGAAACAGCCACAGTCTTTTCAAGCTTTCGACCGACTGTCTGTTATATAAAGTTATCTCGCGGATTTGTGGCCCACAAATTAATACGCTTTCTCTTATCTTCAATTGTTAATTCAAGATCAATTCCAGACGAATTACCAGCCAGATTAAAAGAGTTAAGCATCAAAAGATAATGTTTTACACGCTTGTCTCATTATCATTGACGTCATTGCGAAAACTACTAACCGCGGCCTTTTCCGAATAACTTTTTCTTGGGCTCATTCATAAAATTCCTTTTTATTTTGTGCCACTTCAACCAATTATATTATTTATTTTGTGCTCGATGAAATACAAAAACGTTTGCTTGATGAGAGTATTTTTTTTATGTAGTATATTTTTTGCCGCATTTGAATATTTTAATAATAGAAACAACAAGTTAAACCAACAATGGCATTCCATCTTTTATCTCTCCGGCGCTAATCACATTGTTCGCATGCACGTTCAGGAGGTGTCACGTGATATGTGAGTGGAGTACATGTGCGCGGTATATTTATTTTCTGCCACAGGATATACGCACCCCTGACTTCCACAACTGCACACAGCTTGCTCTCTATAGGAATAAAAATAAATGAAAAATGTGCACACGTCTCAGTGCTCTTCCTCGAGCAGCTCATTGGAATTTCATAATGAGAACAAATTTAATTAATCACCTCACGTTTTAGATTGGATCAAAAAAGTATAGAGAAACGTCCAGGGGTCAACGAATGCGCATTTTCAAATAACAAGTTTCATTCATTCAGAAGAGAGAGCAAAAAATATCTGCCGCGCTGTTTTTTTTTTTTTTTATCACCTCACGGCCTGGGGCAAAATTTTCTCCTGTTCAAGGACGTGGCCGAGAATAAAAGGTCTGTTTACGCGATTTGTGGTGATGTAACAGAAAATAATAGACAACAAAACCGCTCAAAGAAAAGAAGCAAGACCCAACTTTCTAATTTCCCTGCAACACCCTCGGACCGGTCAGATACCTTTTAACTCTGGTGGGTGAAACATCGCAGAGTGAATGTGCTGTTTATTTGCGTCAAAATTTGTATAAAATTTACTTGAAATTTTAATTTCATAAGGATTAAAAATCGAGGTGAGTGTTTTAAATTATAATTCTGTACCAATACACTTAAAAAAATTGAGTCACTTTATTTTCGAGCTCGTACAGACTTGTTAAGTCTTGGAAGTTTAAAAATTATTTATTTAAGTGGTAAGGATATTTAAGAGGATAGAGTGATTTTATTATTTACACGGCATGGAACCGCTGGTAGAGCTGCAACATAGGCAACCCTCGCTACACAGATATTCGGCAGGTTGCCTGCCACATAGAAATAAAGGCTCTCCTGATAACAATCTAAAAAGTTCATTTGAAAATTAATATATGAACATACTTTTAAATGAGTTTAATTTTAGCAAAGAGAAAAATTTCATATAATTTATCGATCACAGGAAAATTCCTAGCTCGGCGTGCGTCAAAATTGGCGCGAAAACTGCCCAAGTTAGCGTCGGAAGTGCTGCAGTTTGACGCGAATAGCAAACGAGCCGAAGGTCTTTCCGAACCAAAAAGGTGACTTTGGTCTCGATGCACGTCTGTGTCGTGATTTTATTTCCATCCGAGGACGTGCACGATGGTGTGAAGTTGGCAAAACGAGCCGTAAATCACCGTCTAAACCGCAAGACATCTGTAGTTTAAAGAGGAGAGCTTGAAACAGTTGTGGCTGCACCCTGTAGGTAGAGCCATAATGCAGACTCATGATTTACGGCCGCACCTCCAACTTTATTCACTTAGAATTAAAGCCAGCCACTTCATCCACCACTTGCAGGCGCAAATTGAAGTTTATTGAAAAAAGCTCGCCGCTCAATTTATGGCTCTTTTGCGACTGCGATCATCGACGGCGCGGTATCATTCGGGAACTATTGATTGAATAGAAATTTATTACCCACAAAGTCAAACGTTTGTCATCAGGCAAAGCAGTTTAAGAAAAAAATTGATTTGAACAATGAAATTAATGATTACAATTAATAAGTAATTTTCAAATGATTTCAAATTTTGGTCAGAAAGAAATTGTTTTTGCAAATATTTTTGATATCTATTTTATTGTGATAAAACAAAAAAATGTTTAAAAATCACAGTTCTAATTTAATTTTACCGATCAAATTGACATCAAATAATTATCTCTAATCTGACTTGATTTAACTCAAAATCTATTTTGGTTTTCAACAGACCGTTAACTGTTCCGTGGACTAACTGCAACTTTAATTAATTGGTCCGGAGACCATTAATCTGTCACTCGATCAATTTGACCGAGATATTGGCGCGCTGAGAGTTGTGTGTATATTAATGGAGTCGTCCTTCGCGGTGTTTACATTTTATCTGGTGTCCAACAATAAACACGCCATCAATATGCAGCCTGCCGTGGTGGCATATCAGACACACACATACTATGCGCTCTCTCACTCTCTGTTGTGTTATTGTAATAGAGCCATTTAATTCTACGGCGCTGTGCACCAGTAGCAAAAGCGGCTCCACAGGTCTTGCTTGTTCGCGGGGCAACAATAAATGCAAAGAAATAGAGGAAGAGCCGCGCAGTTTCTCGGCTCCTGGCGTTATTACGCCAGAAATAAATATATTCCTGCGCCTATACATGGAACCATGCTACAAGAGGTGGTGGCGGCGGATTCACTTGTTACTCTTATTATTATCGCATCTCGGCGCTCATTTAATATGGCACTCACACACGCTCTCGCGGCAGCAACCACCA